TATTAAATTTAAAACAAAGCATAATATAGCAAAAATAATAATGAATTACTGAATACAATTTTAAATTCAAATACAAACAAATACTGCAGATACAAACATTTACTGTGACTAAAAAGGGAATTGAATTAATTAAAAAAAAATAAAAACAGTAATGTCGGGTTGCACAAAACATTTAATGAATCAATAGTGAGCTATTAAACAAGATTTAGTGGTCCACAATTGGTCCATTAAATTTATAAATTGTTTATGCAACCCAGCATTAGGATGATAAATGTYCCCCTTGAGGTGCATCCAAATGAATCTTAAACTTATCAGATATATTGGGACCTAATTCAACACATTGAGTTCAACCACTAAGATTTTATAATTTAGAGATTAATTGGTCAATTATTCACTTTAAAATTTAAAGTAGCAACCAAAATGGATTCAGCTAAACACAAATTTACTATGTTGTACGTTTGTAAGACGGAAACAACATATTACCTTCAGTTAAAGTTTCATATACAATTTTCTCAATATTATTTGGTAATACATCTGGCAGAGTTTCTGAAYATGGAGAAGTATACTTTTGGACATGACAAAATTTTTTTACTGGGATTGTATGATACATCTCTGTTCCAATATTTTTAACCTTCCCCCACTGTTGGCGTAATTCAGTACAACTCAATTCCTCCAAACTGTCAATTGAACTTCTGTAAGTATTATAAGGTACGTACTTACTATTAGGTATATCAAATTTTAAATTCTTTTGAAAAAAAAGAATACATTTTACTTACTTCTGTAACTTAAGCATAACGCCAAYAACATGCTTACACTTCCCTGTGCCTGCTTTACATGAGCAGGAACCTGACACCTTCACATTACCTTCATGAATAGTTTTTGTGACTAAAACTTCATGAGGATGACCATTMATGTTGGAGGTTTGTAAACACAAAGCCATAATAACAAGTTTATTTTTTGCTTGTTCTTTTATACCAAACTCTATTATGTGGTTACATTTCAATATCTCTGAGCCTTCAACAAACGGGCGTTTACCATCACCTACATAGTCCATAATATCAATAATTTCAATTACTGACATATTTAATAATTAAAAAATGACCACTAAATTACAGAATAATTTTAATATTATATTATAACCACTTGGAGTTGGAGA